TACATTCATGAACGTTTGACTTGGGTCCAGATAAATCATTCCGAAAACCGAACTGAATGTGACGCGAGACATTCACAAACAGTTACATCAGATAGCCACGACTCGATTTAGGACTAGACTACGAAGTACTACGCCAATGAAGAAACGTGCAAAGAAAAATAATGAACTGCAAAAGATTTTCTTTATGACGATTGCTTATAAAGTGGGAAGTTGTACCGTTACAAAAAAGTATACGTCAGATAAACAACAAAATGTGCTTTCGGAAATTAAGTTATAATTTAAAAAGGTCGATCGTTCCACAATGTAAGGTAAAGTGGTCGCAAATGCGTTTTATAGCGAACGCCACCTACGTGTTGATGTCATTCGCGAAGGCACACTTTACGATAATCTGACACATAAAAAATTGAGAAAACTCCTTCATAAAACATCAATTTATAACGTGTGCAAATCTGAATCGCGTTTTATTATGATTATTTCTAAATTTCGGCACAGTTTATGAAGTGGAACAATCCGATTTACTTACATTAAAACGTTTTCTTTGGCACAGTAAATCTTGATTTTGTGACGAAATGCAGTCAATATTTTGAAATTATTATAATCGAAAGCCTCTTAAAGCGTTATCGGGGCGAAGAGCATCGGATTGCGATTTTTTAAGTAGTCCGCGTGGGCGGCGCCGGCGTCGCCGTGGGCGGACGGAAGTGAGAGCGCCGATCGTTCATTTTGCCTCTTTGTCTAACGTTTTGGAGATGGCATTAGCGAAAATGAGATAGGAGACGTTATCAATAATGTCACAGATCACAAACAAGATGGTAGTATTAGCGAGGCTCTTTAGTTTATGGCCACTTTCGATTCAGAGCGTGACGCAAGCGGCGATCGGAATGCGAAGCGACCAGCACACCTCGCATGCAACTGAGAGACTCAATCGCTGCGCGGGCTCGTGTTTGTTGCAAAAATTATGATATTCAGATCACGTCCCGTTCGGGGCTGGCAAAGAAATCTCTTAATCACCGGGTTTGAAACGACCATTTTAAAATGACCACGATTCAATGAATTGACGATTCAATAACGGTTCATAATTAATGAAGTTTTTAACGAGGAACGATTTCATTACCAACAGATAACGTAATTGAGGGAACTGTAATCGTTGCTGAAATCGATTTAATTATAGAGATAGTTACATTGATACAACAAATTATTCATTGCGTACGTTTTCCGAGTATAGCCATCATTTTTGATAAAAAAGACACACTGTATACATTGTCACCCAAATATTACAATGGAATTATAATAATACATTCTCCTACTTGGAATAATTTCACAACAGAGAGCTTCATCATTCGAGACTATGTAAAATGGAAGATCAATCTATTGTTTTTTTTACTTCATCCTTTTGAAACGAGAAATAAGCGTGAAGATGTGTTTTCTGATAGAGACGTGTCGATTTTACTGTTACAGCATGTACCTGATGGGCCGGATAAAAGCCATGGCTATAAAATTGACCTAAGACCGAACCTTTTGAGGTATACACTAAGAATAAGAATAGATGACTGTTTTTTCTTCCTCAAATTTTATTTTAATTACATAATCAAAAGTTACTGAGATCAAAAATCTGAATCTGAATGGTTCTGATTTTATGAACTTATGTATCAACCAAAATAAATAACTTTGCCGTTACAGACAAACGTAAAGCAACTAAATTTTATTTTTAATTAAAACACCAAATAATTCAACAACCTATATCTAGATATTAAGTTTGGTCTAAGAGATGAATAATTTTCATTACTAGTAGTAGTAGTAGTAATAACAGTCGACTGAAATAACGAATGATATATCGTTGTGAAGGACAAAAACCTGTTGCGCCCCACTTAGAATTAGAAGGACTGAATAGTAACAATTTGGAGCAGCGACATAGTGACTGGCGATAACACTGAAGCCAATGCGCACACGCAAGTGTTCGATACAAATTCACCTCACGTAGCCACAAGCTCGCATCCGATATGATAATGCTGGAATATCTGCAATAATTGAATAGGAAATGAACTTGTGTTGATATATCATACACAAACATGCGCTTGTATGATGAAGAATTATCTTCTCTTTAATCTTTACTGTGTACAAAATATAAGTAACTGTTCAAGTCAAATATTCGTAATATATTTCTATTTAATTGAATCCACTTACAGGTTCAAAAGTTTGCAGGATTTGTTCAATACCATGTCAGATTAGCTTTTGTCAATAAAACTCTGTTACAGTTCGCTTTAAACAATAAAACAGCATAAAACTACATCTGCATGTCGAACACAAGACGCAGCGAGGTTCATCCATAAATCATAGGACGGCGCGGAAGGAGCCGAGTCCCGCACGCGACTCGTACCCAACTGACAACAAACAACAAACGATATTTGCAACATTTGCTGTAATAATGCAACAAAGATCTATATTTGCATCTTTTACAAACAACATCCATCAATTAAAGAGCTATCAATTTACTCAATATCTTATAAAGGAGTCGAATTGAATCTTAGATCGATTAATGAGTTTAAACCAGATGAGTAAATTTTGTTTCTTTATGATTAACGTGAACGAATAAAAAGCACTTTTCATTTATTGACAGGTTATTAAGACGTTTAATATTTCGAAAGTGATATTTCCTCGAGATCAGAAGTAGCAAGGTCCTCAGCAGAAGGACGCGCCCACGCGGCGTGACTCGGCCACGATTATATCACCGCATGTAGGTGGCCATATAAGGTCAATTGTTCAAAACACAAACAAAACCGACGCACAATCTATGACCTACATCGATTTACATCAAATTGTTAGTAAGAACATTGTTTTGGATGTAAAATCAATTCGTTTATTACTTATCGCCATTTAAAGACATTTTTAACGATAAAACAACCAATAATATCAGTAATTTTGGAGTAGTATTCATTGAAATATTTCTTCTACCATGCGAAAATAAATTACGTGAAGTTTAAATTTTATATTACCAAAAACTACTGCAACAACTTTATATTTCCCACGTACAAACGCTACGGAACTAATTCGTGGCACGTACCACGGATTAGCATTTGAAAGCTCATTGTTTGCGTTTGACTCGATTTGAGCAGTCAATGGTTAAAAAACTTATGATGGATGGACACAGAGACCGAGGATATGTTTTGAGAGGCTGAATAGGCTACGTAGTTGCGGACACGCGCGCAGAATGTATTAGTGAGACCTTGCGATAGAATAGAAACGAGCAAAATCGCATCGACAACCATAAATGTGACTGGAGAATTCTCACGCCTTAACAAGTGTACTATTTTGACCTCATTATTTATATAAATTTGTATAGCGTACAATTTTTGTAATACATACATACATAATACGTATGCTAAATTCAAATAAATGACATTATTGGCACATGTAGTTTACTGAATGAAAAAACAGCAAAGCATCAACTTTATGACGGTTCACGATATCTAATGATGATAATAATTATTATAATGTTAAATTAAAAAGAAGCAATCGTGCGACGACACAATACACTCTTAATTACTTTAATATGTACGAAATTCAAATAAGATAGAGTACAGGGCTTCTATAGTAGTCTTTAATGCAAATAATAAGGGGCAATAAGCGTAAAACTTAACACTCGGCCAATTGGGTTGCAAGCTTAGCTGTTCCCACGTAGCTGTCACCGCGGCAGGCCCGAGCCTATCGTCCTATCTACACCACAGTGGACAATCCGCTTAACAAAGTCTCACCGACTATGGACCGGCCCGACCGTTTCCCACGCGTTAACGGTCACCTCGAAACCGGGACGCTAGCTCCGACAAAACCGTGTCGTTCTCAACACGAACAATATCCAATCCTAGCCTAGTACCATGCAATACTCAAGCCGCCGAAGCAAAGCGGAGATGAAACAAAAACGAGCGAAGATGACGCGTCCCAGACGGCCGAGATCCGATACAAAAGGATGACCGATAACTTGTATGTTCACTCGATGACAGAAGAAAACATTGTTTGCATTGTGAACAATAATTTTAAAAATTGACCATCACGTCGTCGATGAAAAGAAACGACGCAGTCGCGAGCACTCGGTTGAGAAATAATGCTTATTGTTTTTGTCTCTTTTCCCTTTTGAAATTTTACGAACGATTAAATTCGCAGCGGGTTGCAAGCATTTGATGTGAGTTTCTAATTCTAGCCAAAGTATGTTTTCAACTATTATGTATTCACCTCATTCTAAATGCTCAAGTAAGCATTTTCTCCTAATAATATAAAACTGTATCATTCAACTATTATATAAATAGCAAACCAAAGTAAAACATTCTATTAAAAGTATCCGTCTGCATTTAGTCATTATAATTTACCCAAACCGGATAAACACCAAGTTAAATAGGATTACATTTGTTGTTACTAACATCACGCTCAAGGAAGTTTTATTTTAAATATATATTTATTAGACTAAAACATACATTAAAAGAGTAAACAAATGGAATTCAGGTTAAAAAACAAACATTGCAACTACTGATAAGGTAAGAAAGCAATGAATTCAATCGTAAGTACTTTTCTATTGAGATATTGTTAAGGGCCTACTTTGGACTACAGACTTAAAGTAGTGTTATTTAGTTTATGATATTAAGCAATATGTGTCAGTGATGACGGAATAGGCAGTATAAAAGGTATCTTTGATCGTGTGGTGTAACACAATATGCTAGGCGAACGGGCGGTGACGCGGCGGCCAGTTCACGCTATTCCCGGCCGGGACTAATTTTAACCATCTGCGTCTCCCAGTCTAGTTTTAGGAAGTGGGCCGCCTTGTGTTCGCCGAATCAATTTGTGGCACGCGTCGCCACTCGCGACTCGCGACCCGTCCAAACCGTCAATACAAAAATCAAATTGATGAATTCCAATAAATCATAGTAAACTTTGAAAGGTATTACTTTTTCTGCAATTGAATATGCGAATAGATATCAAATATTCGAAGTGAACCGAGCAAATAAAAAATAAAATATTAGGATTTTAACTTGGACTAGAAATCAACTGTAACTACGCGATGAAACCACTCGAATAGTCGTGGTATCGATAAAATGGTTTTAGAGGAGCATTCGATTGACTCACAGCATCCTATCGGTGAATGAGCTCAATTAATAGAAGTAATGATACGACTATCGCAATTATTTACTCGGCTTCGGAACGCAATTACTAGAGGCTCTTAATTGGGGCCCGGATTGATTCTTGCGCCGTGTGACGCAAGCGTCTGCCAATCGAGCAATCTATCGCAGATGTTGGCGAAGAAATATAATCGGCCCTTCCAATTATCGAAATGACACTTGCGACGACCACGTCCATATCCCCTGGACGCTCAGACACAGACTAAATCTATAATGGATGAGACGCGTCCCGAGTCAGTCCAGTAAACGAGATCGTACCAACAAGCGCGCATACATAACTAAACAGGCAGACGGCGGTCGGTTTGTTAATCTATGTGGATTACGTCGCGTGGTCAACTCGGAGCTGACTTTTAGACAACTCTTATGACGGGGTCTAAATAGAAGTTTCTGGAAAGTAAAGGATAGAGTGTGTCAGCTACAATGCGTTCTAACACTAGCACGTGTCGTGCATACAGATGAGGTCGGCCGCCAATCATTACGATCACCGTAAGAGATGTGAGTGGAATTGTGTTAACGCTAGATAATGTTGTAGGGATTTAGGATTACTTGGCGCCATTTCCACGATTCCTATCTACCTGATTACATAACCAAATATACTGTTTAGGTTAACAGCACTGAGTTAATTTACTTTGTGTGCATTTTATAATAACAATTCAACTAAAATAAGTTTACTAAACATGTAATAAGGCGTTGTGTTAGTTTATAAAGATAAATAAATTTGTAACAACACTTTATATTGAACGGCACGAATCAATCTCGGTGTGAGTGTAATTGTAGTTTAGTGAAGAGCACAGGTCGTGTATCAGCCGGGTCAGAACAGTAGCCAATTTGTAAGCGTAAACAATACGGCCTGCTAACGAAGGCAACAATATAGTGGCCTTTGGACCGCGAAATATCTCAAGCGGTGACAAGGCGGCCCGGGATATAACGAGAGGAGCCGCGGCCATTGTATTTATGCATCAAACGCAATTTATTTATTCGGCAAACATTACGGAGACACAAAATCCTGTCCATAAATACATGTGAGAGCACATATCAAGTATCGGAATGCAAACGGCGGGGTCTGAATTATGCAACAGCGCGGCCGCGTGCGGGGTGGACGCTACTCCTAAAATAATATTCTACGGACTGCGTTGTGCCTTCGAGAGACGTGCGGTTTACTCTAATTGTCTAATTTGGAGCGCGAAGTTTTGTACACTTCAATAAAATTGTTGGTACTACTAGTCGTAATTATTCTATTACAATTTACTGTTTTGGAGAATACCTGAAGTATGCACATGTTGTTTTTGGCTCATAGTTATATTCAGACATATTGCTAGACCATTAGTTCTACAGAACATCCACATTAGGCGGTGCACGGCGATCTCTATCGTGAATTAAGTCACGGTCAAGTTACGTAATGGTAAAATTATCGTGTATCGATTCGCGAAGATCCCAACCGATACCGAGGACCCATTACTTAAACGACAGCGCGAAACGAACTCACGAAGCGGTCGTTGCTCCTGCGGGAATTTCACTAAATTAAGACCGTCCTACCCTCAAGGGGATACCATCACAACCCGAGGCGATTTATTCTTTATCGGTTTTTAATAAGGAACGAATCGGAATCTACATGGTCGTCGTACGATCACCTCGGCGCGGGATGAATCTCTTCATTTGTTGTCCGGCGACATGCGATTATTGCTTTGGCGGATTAACGGTGGGCCATTCATCTCCCATGGGTGGTCGATCGGTGCGTTAATTACAGGGCCGCCGAGGCGTGCATTTTATAAGAATTTTGCAAACGTTAAGCGATTTCTTTTAAAAATCGAACCGGCGGTGCATTTACGAATAATGAATTAACGGTGCGAGAGGACGGCGTGAGGGGTGCGGCGAGCGGCGAACACTCCGGCCCATATAATTAGAGACGCGGCGTGGTGCGGCGCCGTGCTGTCGTTAAAACACACGCGCGTGCCAAATGAGTGTAACGTACAAATGGACACACATCTGAATTTCATAAGTTACGACAACGCTAGATATGTAACCCAAAATCTCAGCAGCGAAGCAAATGTTTCAATATCAATATTGAATGATACCTATTCAAATAATACAACTTAACATTCAGATTATAAGATTTCAAATTAGTTAAACAAAAAATCAAGAACAATAGGAGTGGCGAGATGTGTATGATGTTGTATTTAATCCTTGAACCACACGCGGTGATGATTACGACGCACCTATTAGTCAAATTAGCCTTATTGTTGGCTAACGGCCGGGTCTGATGGGGGCCGGCGGATCGGCTTACACGCGGACGATTATGTAAGGCGCATCGGCCGCACAATAACGATGACTCAACACAAATTGCACGCAGCGTTTATCAAAACAATAGTACTGATAAGTTAATAAAGGGAGGCGCGAGACTAACGAGCGATTACAGGCCGACGTATGGCATAGACGCGCGCCCGCGACGAATACGTTATGCGACGGTGAGTCACCGACAGCGACAGCGCCTCGGGACCGACCACAGTTGAAAAACACCAAGAATTTACAACTCGTGTCGATAACTTCTATAGTAGCGACTGAGGTTTTTTTACAAATAAAGAACAGAGAACGTGCTTTGAAATAGAAACGAGGTATCCGCGGTGGAATCCACAGAAGAAATGCGAGCGTCGAAAGCGAAAACGCGCTTTTGCGATATTACGAAACGCGCAGACGGCGAACTCGAGATTAGGAGATCCGTTCGCGGCGAGGGCACTGACCGAATTCCATATTTATATCGTTAATTCATGCACGAGAACATCTGCATCCTACGATAGGATTGCGTCAACGCGCCGCATCAGAGCCGATCGTATTCACGAAACAGCCGCGAGAGTAACGCGCGACGAATACTAAAAGAATCATATTTATGTGTATGACTGGGCTCCGTTGACGGGTGAAACGGTTCCCTGGGAAGCGGAGAAAAGCGCCGGCGCTCGATCCGGAGAAACTGGAGCGCGACCGGTATGTCACACGACCGGACGCTATAAAAATGTAAACAGAACCGTCGCCGTAGAATGCAGCGGGCGCCTGAGAGCAGCCGCGAGATGCCTTTATCACTCGTAATCATAATTATACTTTGAATATTTCAATCGGAATAGTGTTATCGGTGACAAGTGAACAATAACGGTGTCTATACTAACACTTTTAATCGAAAGATCTGAATCGATAGAAGGCAAACATCGATTCTGTCGATCGATTTCAACGTTAGTGCGTGTAGAGCTATGTCGGAGGTCGGGGGCGAGCGCAGTGGGCGCTCAATGGGATCCGATTAAATCGATATGCAAATGAAGAGCGAAGGATTAATCGATGTGCGTATTCGTTGCGATGGGAGTAACAGTGGCCACTGCGGTACAAATCAATGAATAAATAGCAGTTGATTAGCTTTGCTTTAATCGATCAATTAAGACTTTGGCTGGTCTTATTGATAAATGACATGCGGATGTTTGGCAATGATTGAATTTATCCGCAAAGCGATTGTAACAGAATGATATCCATGTATTCATTGATTATTTACCGTCTACACAACAGATATAATGAACATAAATGTAACGTTACTGTACTTTTTTTGTTTACCGTCTTAGAAAGGTAGCTGTCAAGTTTGACAAGGTGTAAGAATCTCAATGCAGGGCAGCGGCCACCGAAAGCAATTTTTCAATTAAGTCAGTTGATAATCCGGATCACAGCAGCCACGGGCGGCGGTCGACTGCGGTAATTGGAAACTGTCTCTAGTTCCAAGCACCTGCTACTTTGTTAGCGAGTTTTTCTCTCTTTGCATTATTAAAGGCGCCATGAACGGCCTATTGATAGGAGTTCAATTTCTTATTTATTTAAACGTACGATTATATATTTTTAAAATAAAATTTTATTATCCTAATCCATTTTGCTAATTTTAAACGTTCGACTAAAATTCATATTTACTTATTATAGTTGTCACGTTAACACTAAACTGAGATTCACGCTTGTCATAAAAGCCTAGTTTCAAATGACAAAAATATATAAAAAATAGCTGCCGTATATTTAGTTACTACTAATTATAGTAATTTCACAAAAATCACGGCATAAGTGGAAGCTTCCTGAAGCTTCCTTACATTAAAAAAATTAACAAAGTATTTCTATTACACTTGACCATCATTAATCGGAATGAATGGCAGATTCATTCATCATAAGAGCGGGACAAGACCGCTCCCACTTCCGAGTCATTCCAAACCCAGAGACCGGTTTGCCTTCATTATAAAATAAAATTTGAATAACTTTATTCTCCATTTTTAAATAACGATATCATCTATGAGATGCTGATACGTGAATTTCGCCAAACGAAGTGATTGTCTCAGTAAAAAAAACAGTTGTTAATGGATCCAAGTCAAACGCTCGACGAACCGACAAAGACATAAATTAAGTAATTACATTCTATCTGTCAGCTATTTACAAATATAGTTAACAAAATACTTTATTGTTTGCATTTGTTTATATTTTCTTAACTGTTATAGAGAACTACCGCTGCGGGTGATGAGACATGTGGGGATGAGATAGATGTGGGTGAGAATATGGCTGTCCGAGGGAGCCGAGCGGGAGGGGCGAGGGACATGGCGCGTGCTGGTGGTATTGCTGCAGCGGCGAAGGCGCAAGGCCAGGGTGCCCGTGGTGTTCTAGGGGGTACTGCGCGGAGCCGGCGTACGCCAGTTGCCTCACCTTCATGTCCTCGTCAACCACGTTGTAGGTGAGCTCCGTCTCCTCGAAGCCGGTGGCTGCCATGCGCTGTTCGCTAGTGGTGGGTGGGTCGGGAGAGTTGAGGCACGTTTGTATCAGCCGTTTGCCCGAGTCTGACGTGATCATTGGTTGCAGCTTGCGCGTTGCGAAAGTGTACACGTGCCCAGTCTCGGAAGCAACTAACAGCATCACCTGGGTGCCCGTCAGCGTGGACAGCTCGTATGCCTGTAAATAATAACACAATTGTTATTTATATTTCACAAGCTGTTGACCGAAACTTAAAATAAATAGCCTATAGCTTTCCAGTAGTGAAAGAATTTTTAAATCGGTTCAATAGTTTCGGAGCCTAATTAATGCAAACAAACAATCAAATCTTTCCTGTTTACAATATATGTGTAGATAATATTAGGTACAAAGATTCCCTGATACATAATGTACCTACTCTCATATCATCATAAATAAAACTATAACACGAAATAGCTTTTTGTGTGGTTTTTCAATGTAATAATATTCAGATTCGAACATGTACTGAGAGCTGTAAAATTATTAATGTCTGAAAGGCCATTATTATATTAATTCCATGTTACAATACACAATAATAAATCAATGATGTAATGTTGAATTCTAAGATTTAGCGGGCATTCATTTGACCTAAATAAACAAGTTTCCGTCGACAATTAGCATATAGCTCAGACTTGTCTACATTTTGAAGGAAGTTTTTTTTCTCACATTTAAGATCTAATCATATTTCGTCAAAGGTGTAACCATTTAATAAACGACAAAGATAACTCGACAGAGAACGAGTTCAAAGCTTTGAAGATACCGTATAGTATAAACAAGACATTTAAAAACAGGAGTGTGAAAAGAAAGCAATGCAGGAAATTACATTTGGGTCGAAAAGAGCCCTTGCAACCTTTCACCTCTCCCACGCCCCTTAATTCGTAAGCAAACTGAACTGTTTGGGAGCGACAGTCTCACGGGTAGAGTCCGTGTGTGCCCCGCGCATTATCACACCCACAAGCGCCACCTACACAATTTAAACCAATTTACATGTATTCGTTAAACATTGAAAAGTCAACTCAAACTTTATAAAAATACGAACGATCCGGCGACAAACTGTGCAACGGGCAATTGACGAATTTGCGGCTACCTCGATGTTTGACATACAAATTATGGTTAAATGAATGTAAACCTTACCACGTAGGCAATAAGTACGTAGGTGTGAAAGTCTTCGGAGCTTTAGACGTGATATTACGCGTATCCGTAAAATAAATTTGCTTAGTTACATAACTAGTAGCAAGTAAACTATGTTCACATATGAACTTCCTGGATTCTTATTTTAATATAATTTATATGATTTTACGATAAGTATAACAATAAGCAAACACGCTGGTTATTCATCTACCTATAACTATAATCAATTTACTAACTAAAGATTTCAAGTTTCCGCGAAGCCGTCCGTGCGGAAGTATAAAAAACTTAATTAGCCTATGCGTTCTTCCAGACTATGTTCAACATCTGTGCAATATCAGATCTATGCAGCTGTCCTGGGGACACCTAACAAGCAACCATCGATCCATCTAAACGTTTTCATTTATAATATTAGTAAGATGTGTAAAATAAATTAATTCAAATTAACCCTTTATGTGGCAAGATTTCTTTTTTGAAGAAAAGCAAAAAAAACAAAGTTAAAAATTATTTTATAGTGATCGTATATTTTTATAAAGTTGTATGTATGGTATACTATACAAAATGAACATAAGGGTTAAACAAATTTTATCATTACTTTAAGTCCTTTGAATTCTTAACCAAAAACCAAAACTAAAATAATAAGTAAATCTAGTAAAAAGAGATCTGAACAACAACAAACTCAATACTAAGTTCTTATCCAAGTTCCCTTCAATGGACTCTGACAAACTTGATACTAGATCGTAATATTTATCAATGAACGATCATTCCTTCAATTACAACGCCCCATTCACAAACTATAAAGGTCAAAGATTGTTCCGATAATAGCAATAATGATCCAAACCACAACCTTAATCTTATTAAGGGTAACACCGACTGTTCCAAATGTCGACCGATCAATCAATCATAGACAAACAAGAATTGCATAGAGATAAAAAAATAACCAATCGGATTTTATCATAGTCAATTATATTTAAGTTGGTTTTTCTATTACGCAGTTCCACGACTTATAAATATTAGAAACGTTCATTCATAGATTTAAAAAGTTCTTATTCATAAATATTCAATAGGTCAATACACAATAAATTGATACCTTTTATGTAAACTTGAATTATTTATTTGTGCATACAATCTTATATAGACATTACGCTAAAGGTATATGCCTAATTTGTTTTGAATTTAGCGTGTTTTAAATTAAACTTAGCAAGATTCTTATGTAGTAACAAGTTAGCGTTCATAAAGTTTATTAGTACTTAACCACCATTGAAAATATTTCAAAGGTGTAGTTGTGCCGAAAAACAAATAAATTGTTTATCTTATCTTACTATAATATTATAAAGACAATGTCTAGATAGATGGATGGATGTTTGTTTGGCATTGATTTAAAACATAGTCTGGAAGAACACATAGGCTAATATGTTATTTTTAATTGCTCGCAGACGGTGTCGGGAGCGACAGCTAGTAATTTCATATTTACTTTTAAGATAAGCATAATTAAACATCCTTGTTCGTTATTAATTTACAGTTCATAGGCTAAATGCTCGTTAAACTTGTTACTTGCTTGAGATCTTACAAAAGTAATAAATTAAAAGTGCAAAAACTCTTGTAAAACCATCAAGTGTTTGTCGTATGAAATTCTGTTTCTGTTAATTGATTTTCTGCTAATTGATTTGTAACTTAAGTACTTTTATCACAAGGTCGCATTTCACTTGCTACATCACACCCTCCTAGCCCGTTTCGTCGATCAATAAGATTGATGATAAGGTACTAATTAGCAACTGTGTTCCCCTCAACACCGACTCCAGTTCATCTGGGTCATTGCAAAATATTCTTTATTCATATCTGGCACAAGTTTCACAATGCTATTGCAATTAAGTTGGTGTCGAAACTGATGATTACAAATGCACCCTTAATGAGCTTTGTTGTTAATATGATTAACGACACTTGGGTGAAATTTCACACGGAATTCCAAGACCCATCGATGATATAATTTTCAAATTTAATTAAAATTTCGGCAAATGGTTCTGCTGCGTGACATAGTCTGTGGCATGGATATGGCATCTTATATTAAGTCATTATCAACGGCTGTAACGGTTGAATTAATATAGTTAAAGGTTATGAATGAGTAGCGTGAAGGTGTCGACACGTGTCAGAAATTACACACGTATCGATTGGGAGTAGAGTACACTTTGATGTGCCGTGGGGGCGTCGCTTACGTCATTTCGATTGGAAACGCTGATCGGAAATGTACATCAAGTTAAGAAGCCTCAAGAACGTGTTAATTTGTATCGAGTGTTGTATGAGTACAGAAGCAATTGAATATAGAACCGAAGCTTCTCAAACTTTTAACATCTAACTTTTAAAACGTTATATTACAATACGTGAAAATTCTTTTATATATTATATAATTTATAGCTACTATTGTTTGTTCTCTTTAGATTATTAAATTATTGCTCAACTTTTATACATATACATACGCAATGTAACTTATAGGAAGTCATTGGCTTTAATACAGGGAGACCTAGTAAAGGTTATAACGAACCAGATGTGTTAAATGTACAATAAAACTTTATTATTAAAAAAAATCAAGTTTACCAGAACCTCACCGCATTTCTATTGTAATGCAACAAACATTATAGTGTACGAAGCTTAAAAATAAAATTAATTATTATAATCCGACGATCTCACGGTGAAGGAAAACATCGCGATGCCTGCACATATCTAAGAAGAAATTCAAAGATATGTGTGAAGTCAACCTACAAGCAGTGAGCTAGCGTGGTTGAATATGGCCTTATCACCCCTAACTTAGAGTAGGCTCAGAGTCCCTCAGTGGGGACGTATAGTGAGCTGATGTTGATTATTATAATCCGTCAATGGAGTAATAAATTACTAAGTAAAAGCCGGTCAAACCAGTAGTTAAATATTATTGTGAACATTAATATAAGTAACTTAAAACTCAAACTAAAGAACGAAAAACGGTAGCTTTTATTGCGCGACTTAACAATCATTAAAACATGATATTTTTGTTTTATTGCAGCAATTATCTCGTATATTGTGATAGCATTTAAGTCAATAAAAGCCCGCTGGCGTCTGTCGTCATATCTTCAAGTCCATCCCCTCCCCTGCAACCCCAACACCCCCCCTGCACCAAAATCCATCCGGCGACATAAGAGTGTAATTATATAAATACTTGTCCACTTTCGGACATCAGATATTTTCGACGTCTCTTATTTATCTTAACGAGACCTTATTAAAAAAAAACTCCTGTGAAAAGTAATCAGCAAAAATTGTTATATTACTTTTAAACTTACCAAGTTAAAAGTCCAAATATAAGTAAAGTTAGCCATAAAACTATAGTTTAACCAATGAAATAGTTTTCTTAACAATAAAAAAATTGAAATTGAATTTTAACTTGGAGTTAAGTCGATTGGTGATAAATCAATTAGTAGAAAGTTTAAACAATATTAATTATATTTATTTTATCATCATAATCATTATCATCAGCCTATATTCGTCCACTGCTGGACATAGGCCACTCCGATGGCACGCCACTGAGCACGATCCTCGACCACTCTCATCCAGCTCTTGCCAGCTATTTTTTTATATTAGTAGCAAAATAAACTGTTTTACGTAATCTTATCGCTTTTAATCCAGTGACTTAAACTACTTTAATTAATATAATTACGCTAACAAGATTATAACTAGAACTAACACCTTATATTTCAAGGCTTATACGACCGTAATCCTACGTAGGAATTTGTCTTAGAAACTGACCTACGTTGTGACAAGTAAGCTTACTTGTCACTTGATATATATAACTTGTCATCAACTTAACATCACCTGTCACCAAATAAATACTGATATTACAAATGTAGGTTACAATTCGGCATTTAATAGTACTACTGTGGATTTAACCTACTAATTACATGGTATAGCTTAATAAAGCAACCTGTTTTTGTTTAAACGCAGAGTTCCACTGCTGTGACATTTCTAATAGTACATACCTTTGTCTCTGTTTTGTCTAAAATAATGAAAGA